CGGCGGCGGCTGCCGGTGTCGCCTGTGTCCCCGCCGACCGCTCCGGGAGGGTGGCAGCACCGTCCTCGGGCAGAAGCTGCCGCCGGCTCGGGGGTCCCAGGGCTCGCAGGGTGGGCGGACACGGGCCGGGGGCTCCCGGCACGCAGCCGAGCCTGTGTGGGGTCTCCACGGAGCCCGAGGGAAGGGGTCCAGCTGTGCGGAGTTCACGGGGGGGTGAAGGATGCGAAAAGTGTGAGACCCTCATCCGAGGGCAGGGCCGAGCCGTCCTGGAAGAGGCGAGAGATGGTGTGTGCTCCCTCGGGGGAGCATTTCTCCATCGGTGCCCGGCCCGAGCGTTTCCCCGAGCTCGTGCCAGTCCCACCCGCATTCTTGCCGCCTGCAGCACTGGACCCTGCTGAGCATCTCTGTGCTGAACTGCCTCCTGTCCACGGCGTGCAGCGCGGGGCTGGCGCTGGCCGTGGCGCTCACGGTGCACAGCCGGGGCACGCACCTGGTCCGGGGCTGCAACAGCTCCGCTCTGCCTCTGGATGCCCGGGCAGCCATTGCGACTAACGACTGTCCCTTCAACACCACGCGCATCTACGTGAGTCTGCAGGGTCACTGCACACCCCCACTCCTCCCGTCAGCCTCTTCCTCTCTCTGCTTCCTCTCGTCTTTTCACTCTCACGCTCCCTCCTGCTTCCCTTCTCTCTCCCTCTCCCCGTTCTTTCCCCTGCTGTCCACAGTCTCTGCTGAGTGTGTTCAGCCAGCCTGGTGCAGTGCCCGCGTTGCTCTGACCTCTGCTCCGCAGGACACAGCCCTGGCACTCTGGTTTCCCTCCTTGCTGCTGGCAGCTGCAGAAGCCGTGCTCTCAGGCAGGTGCTGTTTAGTGGCTCTCGTCTTCCAGGGCATCGGGCCCTGTGCACACAGCTACGGCAAAGAGCAGGTACGCCCCACTGAGCTGGACGGATCTCCCTGTGTCTCCTCCATGATTGCTGCCTTTGTGCTGCGTTTGGAAGGTGCTGGGTTCTGCTGGGAACAAGGAGGCTGTGCAGTAGTTGGGGAGGATGCCGAGTCGGAACCTCTTCTAGCCAGCCTAAGGGCCAGACCAGCATCTCTTCATGGGGAGTTGCAGAGGGATCCTCTTCTTCATCCCCCTGGTAGCCAAGCCTGTTCTTTTTTTTGTGACAACACTGCCCATCACATGTCCCTGCCACCCTTTTTTGTCTTTTTTTCTCTCTCTAGATGGCCAGGCCAAGTACAGCAATGGAGAAGCCACTCCGTGAGAGGCAGCAGCTCCTGGCAGGACTTGCTGAGTCTCCTGTGTAGCTGGAGAGGTGAGTGCACCCTGTGGGCTGTGTTTGGGACAGGGGGAGCAGGCTCTGCCATCAAGAAGACCCATAGCCACACCAGCCCCCCAAAACACCTCTTCCTAAGAACGTGGGCAGAGGAGTCAGTGTGATGCTGTGCCCTGCAGCACAGCCTGGCAATGGCACATGCTCCTTCGCTCCCAGGTGGTGCTGCAGGAGTGCTGTGATCCAGCAAGGTCAGGGAAAAGGCGATGTCATGCCTTCTGCAGTGTTGGTGTGCATAAAGTGGGCTGCAGGGGTGAGGGCTGTGCCTTCCTCCTTCCCCCCAGCTCCACCACCCCACCTGGGACAGACCCTGCAGGTCAGCAGGTGCCGTGGGCCCCAGATGCTCTCCCATCCTCTCCCCAGGCTGCCAGGCCCTTCCCAGGCTCCACTGGTTCCTGGCAGCAGTGATGGGGTGGGCAGAGGTGCTGGGACCCCAGTCCTGGTGCCATTACAGGCATGGCAGCTGGCTGTGCCTGTGCTCAGACATCTCAGGGAACAGAAGGGGAAGAATCCCTGTTGTGTGGATCTCTAATTTTCTTCAATAAATAAACTTTTCTTTTCCACACTGGCTGTTCTGAGTGGCTCTGCCAGGTGAGTTCTGGTTGGGAGCAAGGCCTGCCAAGGGAAGGAAAGCACAGCTACTCTGTGAGCCCATCTCTGTGCTTGCCACTCCCCAAGCACAGGGATATTGACAGAGCCATGGCCTCAGTATGAAAGTCACCCATGGATGTGGGGGTTGAGACATGCACAGGGTTTACAGCCCTGTGCCCAGCAGCTGCAGGTCTTCTGGGCTTAGCAGCCCCTGGCAACAGGAGCACTGCAGGGCTGAGATAACATGTTTATTGGATGGGGAAGGTGCTGAGGAACAGGTCTGAAAGCTGCCAGAGTCCTGCTTACTGGAATGAGAAGGTGGTGCTTGGGAGTCCCCCACACCACCGTCGGAGGAACTCGATCACATCCTGGCCTGCAGGGCTGTGGGATGTCTGCAGAGAGAGAGAGAGGCCTTGGCACTGGAGGGCACCCTGTGGGCTGGCAGGACTGGGTCTGTCAATCCCCACCAAACAGCACTGTTGGGAGAGGGCAGTAAACTGCCCTGGGACAATGAGTCACCCAGAAGGATGCTGTATTGTCAACATGAGGGGCTGAACCCCACCCACAGCCTGTCTCCCTGCCTGTGAGGTTCTGGCTCACCTTGACAGCCATCACAAATTTGTACCACGCATCCTTCTTCACTTCTAGGCCTGGCCTCAGCTCAATCTTGTTTCTTAGCACTGGGTACCCTGGGCACAAAATGACACATTCAGAACAAGCTGAGCCCCAAAGCAGGCCCCCATCTGGTGCTCTGGTGTCTGTATGGTTCAACTCCTGGCTCAGGCAGGGCCCAGGGCTGTGTCCAGACAGCTTTTGACTGTCTCTAAGGATGGTGATCTCACAACTTCTGTGCAACCTGTTCCAGTGCTCCCTCACCCCCACAGTAAAAAAGAGCCCTATCTCTTCCAGCAGAGCTGGTTCCCCACAGCCACAGTCCCTCCCCTCCTCTTACAGCACAGCCCCACACCCCCTCCAGACCTACTCGGCAGCATGTTCTCACTCCCTGCACGGCACCGTGTCATCTCTTGTCTGAGCTGCTCTGGAGCTCACCTGTCAGCACGCAGGGCAGGCAGCGCGCCCCGGTCCCCGCTGCTACCAGAGAGGCTTCGTAGGTGTCGCGCTCGTCCTGCGGCAGCGCCTGCTCCAGCCGCTGGTCCATGGACACAGTGAGCACCCAGTCCCTCACCTCCTCCCGCTGCTCCTCCTGGGGGAATCGTGATGCTGCTGCCCAGCTGCAGCCCCACAGAGCAGGCAGCACATGGGCATGCATGACGCACACAACACACACGTGCATGGTGCACAATGGTGGTTGAGTGTGTGTGTACGAGCGTGTGCCTGCGTGTGTGCAACACGGCTGTGCACACCTGTTTGTGTACACCGGTGTGTGCACGAGTCCGTGCAGATGTGTGCGTGGCTGCAGTGGGAGGACAGGCAGAAGGTGGCAATTCTGGGTCCGTTTCCATCCCTGGCAGTCTCTGCAATCCCAGCCTCACCCCAATCCCTGTTTGGAATGCCCTGAAGCAGCATCACTGCTCACAGGAGCTGAAGAAAACAGGTGACACTCACAGGCACATGCTGATGGGCTGGAAGTGGTACTTCAAAGGGAATGTCTGTCCTCTGAAAATCAGAATGGTCCAGGGAATCCAGGTTCCCTTCTTCAATGGCCTGAGAAAGAAGGGGTAGAGCACTGGGCAATGCCAGTTATAGAGCTCACAGTACAGTTCATGGTGAGGATGCCCCTGCCTGTTTGTGCTGTGCTGACCAGGCCCTCCTGTCATGTGTGACCACCCTCTGCAGTCTCTCAGACACTGCCGTAGTCAGGTGCTTTTGTTTTCCCCCAGCTGCTGCTGACAGCACTTGGGAGTCTGGCACAGTGAGGTCTGTCTGCCCCCTTGGATTTGGTGCTTCTGATGGCCAACCTGCTGGTCAAAGGAGGGACTGAGGGGACTCCCCACTCTTGTATCACAGTGGCCAAAGCACTGGGCCATGGCCTCCATCTCCCAAGTAGTTTTTCTTCTCTTGGAACAACTTGAGTGACATCACCCTGAAAGCTGTAATGGCATCAGCAGCTATGAGGATTTCAGGTCTCAGCTGTCAGGCCAATGTGCTCTTTGCTGCCATGTGCACGGAGGCATTGGCAGGCCCAGGGTGACCTGGCCAGGGCTGTGCAGGTGCCCTGCATGGCAGGTGCTCCCCCAGGCAGTGTGAGGGTGCCCACTGCTCTGCAGGCACACACGGAGGGCTCTCTCCATCAGTACAAGCTCCCGTGTGCTGCCATGCAGGAGCCTCAGGTGTGCCCTGGCCAGGCTGGGGACCTGTGGTGGCCCTAGAGCCACTGCAATTTGAGAGACTGCCCTCCCCCCACAGACCATACTCACATCTGAGAGGTCCAGGAAGCGGTTCAGGAAGACAAATGCCATGTTCTCCCAGCTGACTGCCTGGTATGGAAAGGAACCCTGAGTGAGACAGGGCAGCTCATCCTCACAGACAGCTTTTCTCACAGAGCCATGGCTGGGAAGGATGTGGCTCTGTTTGTGCCACAGTGTCCTGCCTGCAGCATTCCAGAGAATGGACAAGGAGATTGCACATTCCAGCTTGCCATCCCCAAAGACTGAACCCCTTGGACAACCAGCTCACCGCCACAGGCTGTCCCGTAGAATGGACACAGGCACTGTGACCAGACTGGATGGGGCTTGGAGCAGCCTGGTGGAGTGGAAGGTGTCCTTGCCCAAGGCAGGAGATGGAACAAGATGAGCTTTAAGGTCCCTTCCCACCTAAACCATTCCATGATTCTATCACTGCACAGCCAGGTCCAGGCAGCGAGGACATGCTGTTGTCCTTGCCATGTGTCATAACTCCCAGACAGACTGTCAGACACTCGTGTGATGCAGAGCAGAGCTGAGCAGTCTCACATCCACACCAACACAGCCATGATATGGCCTCTGCCCACTCCTGGGTCTGTAGGTCTCACCTTCTCAATGGCTGAGGTCTGGCCAGCTGCTTCGGAAACAGCCTCCAGTGGCAGAGGCCAGCAGCCAAGGGAGGGTTTGGGAAGATAAAGCTGAGAATCCCTGAGCCCATGGTGCTGTATGTCCTGTGGTCCAGGCAGCTCTTACCTTGGCAGCTATCCCAGCCTCATAGAAAGCCTTGTCTGCAGGGAGCAGATCCGTGTGGCGCAGCAGGGAAATGGACAGCTGGGCAGCCATGGTGTCCTGGGGACACAGAGGACAGCAAAGCTACAACAATTCAGCAAAGAAAGAACAGGCTGGAAGGGATCTCATGAGATCACCCCAGACTCACAGCAAGGACTCTGCACCCATACATGCCCTACAGGCAAAAAAGGTCAAAAACTCCAGTCCTGACCCTGAGTTCCCTCACTACAGAACACATGGGACTAACACCTGAGGGTGAAATTCTTCTACTTTACAAGCCTTGTTATTTTTCACTAGAAGCCACACCCAAACATCCCCCATCTAAGTCACAGAACAGGTGAGGTTGGAAGGCACTGCTGGCTTTACATTGCTGGCAGCTCCCAAATCTTGCCCCTAGCCCTGGTCAAAGCAGAGGCAGCTACATGCCTGTTTCAGAACATGCCTGGTCAAGTTTTGACCATCTCAAGGAATGGAGACTCTCCAACCTCTCCAAGAATCCTGTTCCAGCTACAGTCTCAATAAATTTTTTCTTGTATGCAATTATGTAAGAATTTTGGAGCAGGGGTGAGGAATTGAAGGATAATTTCACTCTTCTGCTGCCAGATTGCCACACAAGAACTGTCAAGGTCACCCCTTCTTCATGGTCCCAAACAGATTGCCCAGCCTCTCAACATTCCCCAGCTATGAAGATCTGTACAGGCTTCCAAGACATCAGACTTGGCTTTTGCTGTCTTGGTATGTTTCTGGACCCGCAACATCCACACACATAGCCATGGGGAAATCCCAGTCGTCCCTGTGGCTTTCACTGTGGTTCTTTCCCAGCCTTCTTCATCACAACTCCAGTCCCACATCCATCCAGAGCTCTAGAACAATTCCACAATCCCACATGGATCAAGACTTCAGCAGGGATGCTAAGAACAAATCCCAGTGCACACAACTCCAAAATAGTTACAGGGCCTTGTGATGCCCTCACACAGGTCCAGAAGCTCCCAAAGCCCACCAAGAGGCCCAGCACACAGGCCCAATACCTGCTAAAGCCCTGGGGAGATGATCTTTCTGAAGACCACGTGTGAAGCCCAGCAGCTCTTGGAGCCCAGGAGAGCAGAGAGGAAGCAATCCCTCTCCTGGGAAGAGCAGATTTTTTGTGATTCCTCATTTTCTACTGGCACCTCTGCTCTCGCAAGCACATGGATGCCTTGGTTTACAGCTCAGCCACAGTGGCTGGGGCAGTACCCACTGTAAGTGGAAAAGTATTCACCCAATAAGTAGAAAAGACCGTCTACAGTTCCACCTGCTAGCGGTGGGCTCCCAGATTATTGCAGCCCCATTCTCATGCATCTATGATGTGTGATTTGCAAAGTGGAATAGTAACCTGTGAACAGCCCCAAACCTGCAAATCCCCATAGGATTCCCCACTCTGGGTGGTGACCTGGCAGAGGAACTTCAAAGCCTCACCAGCTGCTTGAGGCCGTGCGCGGCGGAGCGGGTGGCACAGTAGTGGGAAATCAGCAGCATCCTCTCAAACTCCTCATGGGCTGGAGTGTTTGTCTCACTGGACTTTGCTAAGTTTTCACACTGAGAAGAGAAAATTAGAGGAACTGAGAGCAGGAGAGCACGAGGGCACTCTTCATCCACATGAGACAGGGAAGTCAGGAGAGGGAAGTATCTGAAATATTGAGACACCTCTGGGACTGAACAAGGGCTGGGCCTCGGGTGCTCTGGGTCTGAAAGCATGCTGAAGGAAGGAGGCTGTGGGAGCCACAGAGAGTCACCAGTACTGCAACAATACCCAGCACTGGAAGCAGGGGTGAGTCTGGATGGACAAAG